CGAGGTCTATGTCGACATTTGCCATTTCCAAATTTACTTTCGTTTTATAACTATTCTCAATCTAAAATTACTAATCGATCACATCCACCTTTTGTAAACGATTTCTTTCAAGTTTACTGATCAAACATCATTTTAACATGCAAAATGTCGAGGGAAAATTCAATTCATATATGAATTAATCTCTCTTTACCTTCTAAGAACCGAGAATAATCTTTATTCTGAAATGCTTGATAATTTCGGCCAGTATTCTCAAAATATCATTCCTCCAAATGTGACCAACAATCGTAAGCAGAGTGAAAGACGTTCTTACTAAGAGTCCTTGTCCATATTTTTGAAAAATCACTGGAATTATATTGGTGGAAAAACACTATGTCTTTTTAACTCTCCACACATTAATTACAGATGAAAATAACATTTTAATAGTAGTGAGAGACCGTAACATGTGGATTTCAGTCTGCGTCGAGTGTGAGATCGATATACACCTCATGGAACAGATGATGGGTCTCGCTATAGCATCGATTGGTTGAAGCTAAATATTGACAACGTTGGATATCAGGTTAGTGGTGTGAACGTTATCTGTCCGCTCTTGAGACTGAACGTCTTGAGTTTGAGTCTCGTAGGAACGTGGATAAGCATGGGTTGGGAGTCCCATACCACGACCAGACGACTGTTCCGTGCTTCCAGGAATTCAACGACGGTCAGTTGCGAAACTACTCTGATCTCCACAAATTTTCATACTTATATTTCAAGGAGTTTTATTGTTGTTTATTTGATTAACTTCCTCGTAGTCATGTTTAAATATTATTTAAAGATTTTGTGAAGACTAGTTTGATTATCATTAGAAATTTGTCGTTGGCTGACATTATTTTAAAATCAGTGGAAATCAGTGGAAGCGGTGCTTCGTCTCACTACGTGACTCCTCTTCCAGACCATTTCAGAGATCATATGCACAGACGTTTGCTCTCATTATTATTATAACTATTTCTCACTGTTGAATTTCGTCGAGACAGATTCCCGAGGTTCTAATGAAGCTTATAAATAACGAAGTTCGGTTTGTTGGTAACGAGAGTGTATCTAGCTGTGGAACTCGATAGTACACATGCTATAACGAAAGTCCGTTTAAAATTAGGAATGTCGACTGTTGGTTTGTAACTGTGTGATCTGATGATAAAACAACAGCAAGTTAACTTCAGGGTGGTTAGTTAAATCCCTGTCGACAGGGGGCGGTGTACACATTTGAGGACTGTGCAAAAACAACAAAACCAGTCCATCACTCTCTTGTTATAACCTCTACCCCGATGTCGATCTGTGATATAACTCTACTACAATCGATGCTTCACTTCCGTTTACCATGTCATCTCACTAAACGGTGTTACTTTTTCCGAATGGCATTTCATAGTCTTTGGAATGTTAAAACAGTCTGTTTGTGGAAGATGTAACAATAGTTGGACATTTAATCTGCCAATGATTTACTTTATTCTGTAAATCTTGTTGGTCGTGTCATTCGTTATCTGACTGTTTATAACAAATCACTGAATGATTTACTAGATTCTTCATGATTTTTCAATAAAACATGACGTTGAAACTGTAAAATTTTATCGATAGACGAACACACCAATAATAATATAATGAAACACCCACCACCACATTAACTCCCATTGATCATGTGCGACTCTATCTCTTTATTAACCAATCGCAGTTTGATGTTCATTGTAAAACAATACTAGGTACGGCTTAATTGTCAACCGCGGTAGTAATAGTGACAATAGAGATGTTGGCGTTTTAAAAGGGAAAATTAGTACAGACTACAATGCAGCAAGAATATCTTATGCGAGTGCTAGTGATGATAATGCTCCCTTACGTAGTTCATCTTGTTTGGAGTGCTTCAGTAACCATTCTTTAGATCAATGTCAAAAGTATAAAGACAAGAATGTTAGAGAAAGGAATTCATTCTTAGACATAAGTTGTGTAATGTATGTCTGAAGGCAAAACAAGTAGCAAAAAACTGTCGATCACCGAGGTCGTGTACTGTCGAAGGGTGTGGCTGGAGACACCATACCCTGTTACACGAGTTGCCTACATCACCACTTGGCTTTGTACGGAGGAAGTCGTTAAGTGTATACAGAGAGCAGTAGCGTTTGCAGTAGTGCCTGTATGGATAAAAAATGGTGAGATTATTCAGAATTGCGCCTTTCTAGATAGTGGGTCAGATACCTCTCTCATAGTTGATGACCTAGCTGATAAGTTAGACCTCGAGGGGAAACCAAAAACGGTATCTTTAAAGACTTAGTAATTCATCGTCATTGTTATCCAAAGAGGTCGATGTAGAGTTGCACTCGATAGATTTTTCGTCATCCGTTAAGGTCCAGAAAGTATTGACAGTCAAAAAATTACCGACAGTTTACAGGACTGTGCCAACGGCGCAACAAATGGTATCTTGGTCCCATTTAAAAGACATAAGTTTCCCGAGAGTAGAGGATGAGAACGTCAAAATGTTGATTGGGTGCAACGCACCGGGTGTACACGAGATGAAAGAGATAAGAACCGGGAAGACGAATGAACCATCTGCTGTGAGGACTATATCGGGTTGGACACTGTTCGGCACTTACGAAGAACCCTGTGAAAGCAACCGTGTACTGAATTACCTCTCGGTTAAGGAGAAATTAGAGGATAAATTTGAACAATTGTATTCAGATGAATCCAAAGACCCATTTAGTCTTACTTCATCGATGTCTGTGGAGGATCGTATAGCATCAGAATCTGCATATGGTGTTGCGGACTATACTCGTTCCGAAAATGTCTCTCGTCAAGTTCATTGTTCCTTTTTATTAACTAAGTCCAAGGTTCTTAAGCCAAAAACTGAAGCACCATCTGCTAATAAACCCAAATCTACTGTGAGAAAGCCTAAGGAGAAGGACACCAAACTGAAAGTCAAGACTACGAAAAGGCCGAAGGCCACTGTAACGAAAAAGCCAGTAACTAAGATCCTGAATAAGCTGGTAGCACATATTCGAGTGGTATCGAGGATGGCGTTGATAAAGGCGCCTTTGTACGAGTTGTGAACAAGAGTAAGGGTGCATCTGGTAGTTTTACAGGAGCCAATGCTATTCTTAGACAGATCATGTGTAGTTGGAACCAGAATAAGACCGTAAATGCTCTTTTAGAAAGAGGTTGTGAATGGCGCTTTAAACTTCCGAGGGTTAGTCAGTGAGGCAGTGTATGGGGACGCACCATAAAGTCCATAAGAATTCTGCGATCACTATTGTTTCAGAAGGTATTGATGGATGAGTTTTCGGGAGATTTAATGTTAGTAAACAATGTTGGCTCACCGAGAAGTCTATGGCCCAAAGCTATTGTCGAACAAGTAAGCTATGGCTCTGACGGACGAGCTCGTACGGTAAAATTGAGAACCGCAAACAAAGAAACTGTTCGGGACGTACGAAGCTTATGTCTACTAGGAGCCGGCTGTCTGACGGCGACGACGACCCTGGACAACGGACGTGGTGCGCGTTTCGAGGGGAGTGTAAAATGTGATCGATAGACGAACACACCAATAATAATAAAATGAAACGCCCACCACCACATTAACTCCCTTTGATCTTGTGCGACTCTATCTCTGTATTAACCAATCGCAGTTTGATGTTCATTGTAAAACAATATTTGTTTTGTTGACTCATTTTTCCTATTCTCTGGCTACTGTTCGGTATGTTATTTGTCTCTGTTTTTCCCTGTATTAATAGACCGTACTGTTTGTTCGTACACTAACGATGTTAATTTATGTTTTAGAAACAGATAAAGTTTATCGAGCCAAATTGCTTACTTGTTCTAACTTTGACCGAACTAAGACTCTGTATTCGACAGTAGGGATTAGCTTAGAGTTGAATCTTTAGGAAATTGCTTCCTACATAATCATTGTAATACTCTTATTACTTTGATGCGCCACCCACCTTTTTACAGGAAAACATGAGTTCCAGTCAGGTGAACAGTTTATTTCAGTATTTGTAATGGAGAAAACTTATATTGTGCGGTTCGGAGGCCTAAGCATCACCTTACTGATTCATGATATTGGTTGATGCAGTTGTCGGAAACCTCTGAAGGCTAATTTGTGGTGTATCAAGCTTCTCATAATTGAGCTTCTCTGTACTCGAAAATGCTCATAATGCATAAAAGTTACTTTTTGAGCAAACATTACAGTCAATGAGAAAAAGATGGGCAACTGACAAACTCAGGAGTGATTTAATCCCATTGACCTCACCTGGATAAGTGGTTCAAAACTTAAGGGACGCAACAAGTTGACAATGTTGTTAACCTTCGATGTTTCTTACTTATTGATCTTATTCATAAAATGGTAACACTAGATGCAACTGATTGTCATTTCATCCGTCTAAACTGTTCGCAAGAACAACATTGTCCTAGGATAATACTGTAACTGACGATACCAAGATTTTATGCAGCCGAGTGAGACCTGTGGATCTATGTACTACATTTTAGTTAGTTGTTTGAATAGGCCCTTTTCGATTGTTAAACCAATCAGTAAAGCTTGCCCAACTACTTTCCACTATATTCCAGGTTAATTTCACATGCATATATATAAATACCAAAAGTAAGGTGTCTACACATAACACATTAGGGATACGATATATAAGTAATTAACATCCGCACTGTCCAGTGCTGTATTCTGGTTATCGTTGTATTGATCAACTCAATCATTTCTGTTTAAAATATAGTTCCAGTTAGAGGATTCATTTCATTGAGATTGCGGCTGATAACGTAAGAACTTCTTATTCATTTAGTCCCATAGAAAATCATGACTATGTACACAGCTAATTAGTGTTGACGTTAATTCCACTCCTTGAATCCTTTGAAAGATCTTAATCTGATAATACTGAAAGGTATCTATCCATAAGTTCGATATAAACTAAATCTTATTTGTTTCAACAATCTTATTCATCTAATACAGCCACTTCAATTTTCTAAACGAAATAAAGAATACTGAACAAATAGACAGAACACACCAAAATGATGGTGCAGTGACCGCCAAATAATAAATAGAGTTTACAGTCGGATATGTCCTAGTTTTATTTGGGAGAGGGTGACCAAATAAATGTAATCGACCCCAACCGCTACCATTAACTGTTTGAACAACTGGCTTTAGACATTTTTTCATTTGTATTGATTTATCCAGTATGACATTAATTGGTCGATTTCAAGGCACTTTCATTGTAATTTTATGCAAAGTGACAAATACTGAGTAACAAATTTTGTAATGAATAATCATTGAATTTGGTCAATACATATTGATTTAACTAGTATGTAAATTAGTTTTCCTGTGTTCTCTATCAAAAAAAACTTCTACACAAACCTGGAATTCTTACTCAAGTTGGTCAGGAGAGAACGAGATGATAGAAACAGTGTCGTCCACCATATTGAAGTATGAGTTGAGAATAATTCACTTAGTGCACAAATATATACAAACGCAAAATTTCCATGGTATAAGGTCATGATTACAAACAAATAAACAGTATATAACAAGCTTGGGTACTGGACACACATAATCTGTAGGCGGATAGACTGTTATAGTATATATATATATCAATATCATGACTTCTTATACACACATAGAAGTAATCGTATTAAAAACACACAATAAGAGAAGCACAATTATAGTAAAAACAATTAACTAGAAAACAAGACTAACAAACACCTTTCATATACAAGTGGATACTACTTTGGAAAGAAAACCAACAGATAAGACAAAGAAGAATAGTAGTAGTTTAGAAAAATCAACTGGAAATCATCAGAATATACAACTCTAAGTGGAATTGTTTCTCTCAACATTTGAAAACACGTATACACTATAATTAATATTCAATTTATTTTTGGTATATTTTATAGATCAAAATGAGGGAAAAATAAACTCAGAGGAATAGTAACACTTGGCACACTTATTCACACACACACACACACGTGCACACAAAATCTACTAGGTATAAATATTTTCATCAACTGCTCCTTAAATCCCACCAACTTTTCACCAATTTGTCACTTGTTCCCATAGAGATAAATATACATTTTCAAAAGAATAAATATAAAAGGCATAATCTTTCAACAAATTCATATACATAAATAAATTCATACATAAATAGATATACATGCATAGAGAAACAAATTCCATTGATAAAATACATGGATAAAATCAGATAGATAAGTAGATTTGATTGTATATTTTGATCATTATCATTACTATCGGATTTAGTTTGAGTCAAAATAGGGAAAATAATAAAAATAATAATAATAATAATAATAATAATAATAATAATAATAATATGAAGAGCATAAATACGTACATGTATGAGTAAAAAACAAACAACAAAACGTGTATAATGAAAACGAAAGAAAGAAAAATGGAAGAAAGAACTGTACAATCACTATTTCTTTCTTTCTACATTGTGGTTTGTTCACAAGTAGTGAAGTGATAGGAAAGAAAGTGTTCACTTATTTCTGTAGTTTAGATTCAATAATTATTAAGCACCTATACAACATATCATATCATTGAAGAAGAAGAAGAAAAAAAAAGTGTGCAAACATACCTCTATCTAACTACATACATATACAAGATATCTTTACAAAACAATGCTTCTTTTTTTGAAGAAAAAAAAACCAACTAACTGTGTTAGGATGTATAAACATGGAACAGTAATAAAAACAAATACTTCGTAATCACTATGATAAGTATATATGTGATATCTGTTGTTATGCCAATGGATTAACCGACTATGAATAGATATGATGCTTTTTGCACAGCAAAATATATTGATCTCGATCCAAATGACATTCTAAAAGTAAATAGAAGGTTATAGGTTAATCTTCTTTTTTTTCTTTCTTTCTTGATAAACACAGAAAATTATTAATAGAGGAGATTGACTGGCGTGAGAGAATATAGGATAGATTTTTTATCAAAGGGGATTATAATGAACCTACAGTTCAGTAATGAATAAAACTCATACTTTCTGATATCAAGTGGATTAAGATAATATTTACTCAAACTCGAAAATCAGTATGCCACATTTTGTGAACTCAAATTTTTTTTCAATTTAACGATACATTGAAATCAGTCTGGTATGTTAATGAAAAGAAGCTATATTTCATCAGTCTTCTATTAGATTGAATTTGCAACATCGAGGAAAAATATCTTATTAGGATTGGACAATAAGATCAGCCCTGATCTAATCGAAAAATCATTGTTTGTGAGCTAAACAATGTTGCAGTATTTAATGGTGCCTAGATTTTTTCCAATTACCGATGCATTGTACACGTTTCAACTAGATTGTTAAACAACACAAACGAATATATATATTTCGATAGGGCCTTCGATTGATTATCTTGAAACGTCTAATATCAAAATTATGCCTCATACTTGAGTGTTATAAAACTAACTTTATTAGTATCAGAAGGGGTTTTGTGGAGATTGTAGTAGTTTCAGTAGTTGAGATTATGAGTTCGAATCACGCGAGACGTAGTCGTGGATGCGCATTGCTGAGGAGACCCACAATAGGACGAAATGGCCGTCCAGTGCTTTCAGATTTTTCATGGTGGCCCAACTTCAATTGACTCATGATCTCAACTATTGAAACTAACTTTATTGTCAAGCTCGCATTTGATCAACAAAAAAGCTAAGAAGAAATTTCCAGAAGATAACTAATTCATGTGAATATTTCAATTACTGAAGAAATTATACAATTGATTGTACGAATGACTGAGATAAAAAATGTCATATGGACATAAACGAAAATAATTAAAGGTAGTAAATATAGGTTTTGTAGTTGTGGTGGAATTGTATTATTTTACTGGTGTATTTTTTGTACCAATAATATTCTTGAATATGATGCACATCGAACTTCTCGGAATAAGTAAGTTACTACAATTCCACAACAAAAGATAGTGATGATCAACAATATACGGGTATGAGATATAGTGAATCAAGTTGATAGAATACATTTTCCTGCCTATTAATAGTCTTTGAATAAATACTGTAACATCTATTAGAGTTGAATGAAAAACAGTAACGAAATGAAATTTTAAAAAAGGGAATTTTATAAATTATTTCCTTATAGAGATTTAACCCGATAATCTCAGTGTAAACCAAGTTAGAGAAAAAAGTATTGACTTATAAATCAAAGGAAGTTGGGATGAAATCACTGAAAATGTCACTGCTAGAAATTGAGGAATTATGAACCGTTATAAACCTTTTTAATTGTGTAGACTCTGACTGTTAAGATATGTCTGCTGATCAGTTATCTAACATAGGTCAATGAAATGAATTAGTCAGTCACAGAGAACATAAAACCTGGGACATATGAGCATCGGTTGCCAAACAATATCAGCAAAGGAACAAGTCAAATACCCGAGTATAAGAAGTAGTAGCGATATCACGTGTAGTAGAAAATACCAGCCACAGACAATATGATTTGATAAGGACAAATTTGTGGGATAGGCAGAAAACTGAAGATCTAAAGGAAGACAAGGAGAAAGTACATTAGCGCCATGTCATCCAAATGTCTCCAATCACTGGTTATGACAATCATGTGATTTTCAACCATGCATCTGACACTTATTAGCTGTCAATGACTTCACTGACAGACATTAAAACTTGGATTAGCCTCTGCTAGTTTATTTTCAACCTAATCGTAACTACAGCAAACATTTTCCGTCCAGGTTAATGCTAGTTCGGAATACATAAATATGTGTCTCAACTGCTTCTGTCGATGAAGATTCGCTACCATTTCAACGAAACAGCCTTGAAATTAGGAAAAGTGTTAGTGTAAAATTTCTTTTCGTAGAATTACTAATTCATTCATTTACTTGAAATATGGAATATATTACTGACTGAACATCTCAATATTTTCAGATAAGTAATTAATTTGATAGTAAAGTTAAAAATGGGCATTATATGATTCAAGATCCATGAATAACACTTACGTCTTGTGTTTATTTACCTACTACTGAATGCTAACTCTATGACCATTAAACTTAATTACTATGATAAATCACAGAAGTGATTATACTTGATGGAAATAACAGTTAAACACAATGAGATTATTATCACAACTCAGTAGTTGACTGAAGAGATTTTTTCATGTTTGAAACTGTTAATAATACGTGTAAATATTATTTGCAACATAAACCCAAATAGACACAAGAAATAAAAATTCAAACAAGTAGAATGAAATGTTCATCTTGGATTCTGCTGGTAAATAACCCTTGTCGAATTATATGTACATCTGTTTATTGAGTCCATTTTATTATAGCCAGTAGATTCGAACCAATGAATAAACAAGTGATTAGGGAAGAAGAAGAAAACTAAAAAAGACATTTTCATCAAAGATAAAGTATTTCTAATGAAATGACAACAAAAATCTATTATTCTAAAAAATGATTGAAAGGAATGGGAAAACGTAGCATACTACATTACAGGGTCTAAAAATTATCGGAAATATTATTATAGCTCATAATTTTGTTTAAACACCTAACTTTACTCTCTTACCAGCTCTATGTGCGCATTGATAATGATAACTCAAATTGCATCCTCGATTACAACAACTTAGAATTGCTCCAGGTCTTTGACAATGTGAACAATGCTAAATAATTGAAAATAAATTAAATTAATTAAACAGAATTAAAGAGTTTTATTTTATAGGATAGAATTAAACGGAGTTAGATTGTTTTGGAACTGTATCTTCGATGCCTAAACTTTCGATTACCACTAATACTGTTACTACATCTACCACTTTGGGAATTACACTAACGATGCCATCTGGCTGTGCCAATGAGTTATGGTAGCTTGGACAGATTTATATAAGTACCCGTTCTATGTTGTGTTTGACTGATTGAGTTCGTCGAAATAACGATTTTATGTGTAATTAAATCTTTTCTATACTTGTTAACTCAATTACTAGGTACAAACTCATATACTTGGGGCCGAGTCACACACACACTCCAATTGTGACGTTTAGTGAGACTATCGGGCTATGCAAACTGAATGCAGTCATCATCTATGTAGAGACTCGGACGTATATGCGCTAGTCAAAGCCATCATATCACATAAGCAGGACAAGATGAATAGTATAGCAATTGAAATAATGTGGCAGTATTGATAATAAGAAAGGATAAGGACTGAGAAAATGGTTAAAAAAATGTGAATGAAGGAAGACTGGAATTCAAGACCTAAAGGAAGATTAAAGGTGAATGTATCTGTGCCGTTGACGCCTATCCTGAGGCACACCACACGAAGTGTCCAACCCCATGATTGTGGTGACCACCTAGACACTAACCAGATAGTTTGTATCTACCTATTAGGATCGGTTTAATAGCCAATGACTTGATGAACTGACGGAGTCATGGTTTGGTCCCCACTAACGTTTTTTTAATTTGCCCGAACTGAAGTGCGGTGGGGTTCGGATCAGGAACGTAGTGGTTGGAAGTCGAATGTCTTAACCATTGGGTCACTGATTGAGTATATGTAATAAATAGAACTAACACACAAGTCAGGTAGGGCTATAAAAAATACAGAGAGGATAATATATAAAATTAATGATTGGTAAAAGCGTAAATTCCCCATGAAAATTGTCAGCTGAGTTGTGATTATTCAAGAATTTCGCTAGACAGTTTATAGGTCACTGACAATTCAACTTTATCTATGCCTTCGAATGACACTTGTTATTGAGTTTTCAAATATGTACAAAGTTGGTCAGCGATGACATCAAAGAAATATTACTGAGTAAAACTGTTCCAATGGGAATTTGCAAGAATGTTTGATTAAACAGAGCTATTTATTGTTATACTGGGTTTTTTCCAGGGAAGAGCTTGTGGCAAGATATGAAGATATACACGACGTCTTACTTTATTTATCATACGCGTTTTATAATGTACCGAATATGATCCCGTTCAAATGCTTTATAAGAACATGAAAGTTACAAATCATTGTAACCGTCAGATGATCTTTTTAAGATGAGATTTCACCTTGAAAATATACCTTTTAACATGTTAACGGGCAGACATTAGGCCAACAACAACTACGATCGCATAATCATGGTGGGTCAAATAATAGAAAGTCTTTTTTGATAACTTGAGAAGAGAATGTTAAGTAAAGTTTGGAGGTTAATCGAATTGACTAATGGGTGGCAACCATCTACAATGATTTTGCATCTAAATCAACGAGATGATTTTCCATGAGTCTTCAGTAAAGACAAAAAAATCGGTTGATTATTCAGTGAGATTATGAGTTAAGGACAAAGTTATGAGCTTGTCATGGCCAATGTGGTGTAACTCTAAGGTAATGTGTAGGATTATAAAATATCTTTGTTCAGAAATAATGGGAAAATTAAGAATCAGTTGATATCTGTCATCCCCTAGTGTCCACTTTCTAGGATGTCCACGATTAAATGAATTTTAAACTTTGAAGTAATTATATGGTTAGAACACTCCTGAAGAACTAGGATAACAATAATTTGTGAAATTGATGTAGATATGTCACTGCTATTCTTGTTGGAAATATAGAGCGGCTCTACTGAATAAAATACAGTGAAATTTCCATTGGATGTAAATAAGACAGTTTGTAAAATTTGATAATTCTATGTATCGATTAAAAAGGTGTTTATTGTCACAAAAAAGTATTCTACACATATGTGATCAAAGAGATTACACTGAGTGTCGCAGAAATAAAACTTACTGCATTAAGGGCTAATTGTAATGCATCACCAAGACCGCCAATAACACCATTTCCATTCACGTAAGTGCCAGGAGCCCAAAGTACACATTCAAAATGAAACCAGACTTCACCGTTCGATCCTACTCTAGGCCTGCAAGAGTTTGTTATCTTAGATAGATCGGGTGAATTTTTTGTCGGGGAGTGATCATTATTTATCGTACTATTTGAAGCTTTGATAACTAGGCGAAGAAAACCAGTATTAGCAGCTGTAGGACGTCCTTGGGCTGCTGCCGATCGTGTAGTAGTCGAAGTAATTACACCAGAACGAATTGCCTTTTCTATACTTCTTGCACGTCTGGATACAGGAGTCATGGGTGTATTAGACTGAGTCACTGTATCAGGAGACTGATATTCACTAGTGGAATCATAGATGAGCTCTGAAGGTAATTGCTTCATATCTGCTTCTGTAAGCCAATAGGGACCATATAAACAACCAATTTCAGTATAATTGTTATCTTCACCACAGAAGGCACATATCCAAAGGCTATTAGGATTTACTGAGGTTGGGAACTGATAGTCACGTACCCGGAGAGGTCCTGAAGGTCTATATGTAATACCTAAGGTGAAAAATATATATACACATAAGTTGTGACCTGCACAAGTTACGTACACTGTTACGAAAACGATCTAAATGAAATTTATGCTTACCTGTAAGAATACTACGAGATTCCATGCCGACGTCATGTTTATCAAGTTTAACTGATGCGCTTCCACTTAGATTAGCTTTGAATGGACAACTAGCAGGCATGGTACAATGAGAGAAGTATCCATTAACTTGTTGAACAGACAAGTCACGTAAAGCTGGGTTAATTATATGGGCAGAAAAAGATGAATTCATATCAATCAACTCATTATTAGTAGTTGAATTATTACAGACTATTTTAGATCCAGAAGGAATGCAATTGTATTTAGTGAAGTTGTCCGAAGTTTTCATAAGACTAGAAACTGTTCCTCCAGCTTGGCAAAGACATAAAAAGGGTGATTCTAAATACTTTCTGCGCATTGCAATATCTGCACTGGTCCCACCAGGTGTGTCAGATGTAACACCAGCAACAGATCTAAAAACGATTGAGAATAAACTCAAATTAAGATATTACAAAGTGAAGTGTTTTCGATTGTTGGATGATCTTGCTTTACAAATAAAGGCATTAATGACATTAAATGTCTATGAACTTCAATAAAAATTCGGAGATTTGAAAATTTTAAATTGATAAAACTAAGGAAATGAAACATACGAATGAAAGTATAGTTATAATATAGACTAGTCTGTTCTATCAGATTTTTAATGTATTTATCAATTCTTGTTATCCAACGAATGAAAGCATGCAGTGTGGATATATCAGCTTTATTTCATTTGATATATCAGGTTCCCGAATAAATAGTTCAATAAGACCTGGAGGAACTTAAGTACATGCTAAAGTCATTCCACTATCACAGATCAGCCTTACAAAGTAGATGTAATGAAAGTAAGAAAATTTCTGTGTACTGTCTGAAATTGTTTGTGTTATCTTGTGAAGTTCATTTATTCTTTAGCAATAAATTCTAGGATTAGTGTTAACATTATTTTACATTTTCCTTATGGTGGTCTACAACGTATTAAACATAAAAAAACTAGTAAGCAAAAATAATAAGGCACACTTATACGATAAAATTGACAGAATAAAAGCCACAACTAGTCCTGAATAAATACATTATATATTATTATAAAATTAAATATTTATGTAAAAAAAACCATGCACACATATGTTTGAAACGAGTGAAAAAAACCCACTTTTTATTGCTGACTTTTTGTTGAACCCGACGAATAAGAGCTCTGGCATCGGCTCTACCACGAGATCCACCTGCTTGAGACTGGGAAAATGGCTCAAAATCGGAATCAGAATCTCCTCGAATTTTTCGTGATTTAGGTCGACGTCTTGATCGAGCTGATGTTTTTCGTTTTGTTGCTACTTTAGACTTTTGATTCAATACATTCGACTTAGTATCTTCATTTTTAACAGACGAGTCAGCTTTGAGGGTTTCATCAACCTTCTCTGGGGAGTTTTCTTTACTATTTGATGAATGGATATGATTCTCTAGAACCAGCTTTGGAAGTCTTGCATCTTCATTTTTCAAAGGTGAATCAGTGTTATTTGAGCGAATTATTGAATTTTCGCCAACTGGTCGTCTTGGTGAACCAAGAACAATAGAAATTTTTTCGAGAATTGGTAAACCATTAGCAGAATGGTTAGCCTCGTTCAAAATCGAGGAGGAAGATGTAGACGAAGATGAACTACTGGAACTAGACATAAACATATCGCTTGCTATCCTTGGGCAACTAGAATTCGGTGGTTTACTCGGAATTTGAGAAGCATGTTGATTCATTTTAAATGCACCCCTGGGATGAGAGCTTTTCTCGGAAGCTGATTGAGATGAAATGGATGAAGGACCTCGAATTTCAGCGACTATGATTGGAGGAGAAGGGGAGGAAGGTTGGTTATTTTGGTTGTTGCTCCCATGAGTAGGAGAGGAACTAACGGGAGATAATGCTGGAGGCGGTGGGGAGCTACCACATGAATGACACTGAGAATAATCCGTAACCAAATTCTGTTCCATTGAGACAGTGAGACTAGGAAAGCAAGAATCAACCGAACAATTGGGAAAAGTGGAGATAGACTTATTGAAACCATTTTCGGAGCATAAAAACCCGTGATTCGAAGTATTCGGTGGATAATTTGATCGATTTTCAAGAGCATGAGTAGTTGTGGTTACAGTACACGAAGAGTTAAGTACACGCAAACTGTCACGCATGACGTTAGGATTCAATCCAGTATTTCTACCGACTAGGCAGTTACGATTTGACGACTCATTCATTCTTTGGAGGAGTAAACATAATTATTCATTAAGCTCTCTGAAATCCATCTTGGAGATTCTGCCCCGTTTACTGAGAAATTACTATAGTTAATGGAATGATTTATGCTTTCTTTTCCTGAGAACACTATTCAGGGAAACATAGAATGAGAGTAGAAAGAGATGGTAATCCACTCGTCTAGTATAATCTGTAAAAGGGAAAAGTAACTCTAATAAATATTGGTAGTGGAGGCCAGTAATATGCGAAATTTAAAATAAAATCCCGTAAAAATTTCCGCACTTTAAAACTAATAGTGGATTGTTGAATTGACGATACATTTATGAATATTTTGGAAGGTTAGGATTAAGATTAGAGTAGTTACGAATACTACAATGCAGTGAAGCAGTAAGATATAAAGTTGGGCTGAGTGTAATTAACCCAGAAGACATTCTAAACATGTAGCTTTTTGGATGATGGAAGACAAACTTCTATTTTATACCTCATGATATAGGTCACGTCAGAAGGTGCTATAAACAAGCAAGGAGTTCACAAAACCCATAATCAAAGAGTTTGAAATTATTAACATGAACCAAATCTTTTCGAATAATTAAAAAGAGGATAGTCTGTGAAAGAGCTTTTTTGAGATAAGGTAATTAGTAGGGACAAGTTGAGTATTGTAGAAATGAACTCATCTATATCGAGTAGTAAAGGGATCACAAAATCATGTGAAATATAAACGGTGACAAAATATTCACCCTAAGCTGACGCAAAGGCATAAGTAGTGTACATTAAGCACAGAATGTACTAAATACTCAATTTCTTTAGTTACATAGTATGGTTTGGATGCGAAAATCCAAATGTGTGATCTGTACTTTCCTCAGGAGCTAAACGTCAAACATGCAGATTTTGCAGCATGATCAGGTTGTTCACAACTCCCGGCGATCAAAACCAACCTGGAGACTGGGAAGTTTAAAAGCAATCTAGGTTCTGAATGTCAAAATAACAAATTCGAAAGAATAATGAATTACTTTACTATGAGTTGGGTTGAGTTTGTGTGGTGCCTCGAAACGCAAGGACCACGTGGGTGTATTCTTGTTATTTCATGAAAATATTGTGACCTAACTACAAATACGTGGCAGAAGTTAGCAAGATGAAAACGATCCTTGTACATGAATGCAAAATTTCAACCTGACAGCTAAACCACCTTTATTAAAAATGCCCTGATCAACAGTACATAAAGCGCTAGGTGAACTTACACTTCAAGGAGTAAACAGAGGCATCTTGTAATGAAAAAGTTGAAGACAGAAAACAAAAAGAATCAAAAGGATATAAATAACATACTACGATAGTATGACAGTACCACACGAGTCATATTTTTTAAGCAGAAGCACATAAAAATTACTGCTTATGTGACGAAAAAGATTTCTAGATGGGACGTATCACTTTCGTACCGAATAAAAAAAATTAACGGCTTTAAAGCCGTTAACAATTGTTAAGCATGAAAAGAGTAACATGATTACATCAGTCAATAATGAACTAGACCTACAAAAAAATCCAGGATGAACTATGTGAATATATATCTGCGCGAGATCGACTATCAACAAGTACCCGGTACTGTTATGTAAGGAAGTCGTTATGAAACACAAACAGTACTCGCGCAAAAGATGTGGCCGCCACACAGTTGGCGCGTGACCTAGACTGAACTAAAACAAGCAAAAGTGAAATTTTCGATATTTCTCGAATCCTCCGGCTGAATATAATTGGCTCTACTGCCAGGATATGTATGACTAATTTAACGTTTACATGCAACGTAAGAAAAGTTACTGTGAAATAAAAAAATAAATTGCCGTAGCTACTCAGGGAAGTGTTGCGTTTTATTCCTAAAAGTCCTTCTAAAAGCGATGAATTGAGAAAATCGTGCACGTAAAAATTATTCATTCGTTTTTTATAAAATAATTTATGGACCATAACGGGTTACCAAAGTAATTAGGTGTGCTATTTATTGACAGTGATATATTTCCTTACTGAGAAAATCTTATTACTTTGATCGTTTATTACTTATCAAGACTACTTTCTACACTTTAATTTAGTTTATTTCAGTTAAGGTACACGATGAGAGTGTCATTTTTGCTTTTAAAATAGTTTATCGTCGGCATTTTAAAAACTTTGTTTTCTATTGTATTTGTTAGCTTTTTTGGTTCTAACAAATTACGGTTTACCACTTTTTCGGCCATATATCACATTTGTCCCCGGGTACCATTGTATCCAGTTTTATTGAAAACCTCTTTTTGGTGATTGAACAGTTTAAGAAAAGTAATTGCCAACGTCTGGGCTGTCGATATCCCGTTGGATCCGTCATGTAGCACGATGAGTGCAAAGACTGGTACTACGATGTTTGCACGAATTCGACGTCTACGGCACTCAAATGATTTAGTATAATCGTTTGCGTATGGCTTTGCAGGCAGTGATGCTCGAACGCAAACAACTTGCTAACCGAGGTCATTTCAATGGTAAATGCTGCATAAAAGTGCGTTAGCGAACGATGTCGAGACATATCTGACAGTACTTTCTCTATCGACACATAAATTGACTTAAAGTCACCTCGCGTGAGCTCATAAACAACTGACTCACAGCAATCAAAGGAGAAAAGTCTGTCTACAAAAAGGTCTGTCCTAAATAAAAACTCCAGAAAGGACGTTTCTTCTGTCCCACGTCCTCTAAATAGTAGTCGTCAGGAAAGACCTAAGAACTGTTTTGGCAAGGCTCAATCTGCTTTTAGTAGGAAACACAACCTGGCTGCCAAAGTCTTCAATAACCTTTCGGAATCGCATCATGTGTTTGACGCGACTGTGGTTGCTACTCTTAAGAAAGTTGATGAATGGGTACAGGTCGTAAACAAGAAACGGTATAACGATATGAATGAAAATCCAAACCCCCCAAATGTATCCGAGAAATTGAAGACTGATCATAGTGACAGGTCAGTTATTTTTTATAGAAGTAAGGAAAGTGAACGCTTAGAACCTAAAACTCGTTTTGAGCACGACATTGGGTTGATTAAACAACTTCTAAATCAGCTTATGCCTCAAAATATCTCGGGAGTCACCTTGCTAAAGGTGTATAGACTAGGTAGTCAAGCGAATTAGGGCCCATAGTCATGTCGACGCCAAAACTTTTTTGACTTTGTTTACAGTGTTCCTATGTCCTAAACTTGGGTACCGCTCACAAGCGGCTAGCCTCTGTTCAAAAAGGACAGCGAGTCATTGAAAATGGTTCAGAGAACAGCAACTAAGCTGATTCTCGGAATAGCGAAGCTCCTGTATGGTGCTCGACTAGCTAAGCTAAACCCATTCCCGTTATCATATCGAAGGACTAGAGGTGACTTGATTACAATTTTCAAATTACTTAGTGATAAATTTGCACCAGATATGCCATCATTTTTCTTGTCTTATAAAACAGAGAATTTACGAGGACACTCAATTAAAGTTCACGAGCCCAGAACAAATTACTTATCAAATGACTATCGACTTTCCCATTGAACTATCAGTGAGTGGAATTCATTACCTCTGCATGTGATTGAGGGTCCGTCCGTCGACTATTTCAAAAGAAAGTTGGATCAACCGAGTAACCATGATTTCCAGGACTAACACAGGCCATCAAACCTCCTGTCCTTCCCAAACAAAAAACCGAAACTGAACTTGTGGTCAGAATATGCTCGTTGGGATCGTTGGCTTGAAAAATTTTAAGCTGGAAGGTTGATTGTTCATCTTTTACAGTAACTCTTTATTCCTTTGCAGCCGTTTTTACTACTGTTGTACCATTTCTGGCAGACTCGCATCTACATCGAAACGTGTATACTTGTTTCTTCATCTCAAATTTTGTTGTCCTCAGTTTGGTTAACTGTCTTTTAAGTGTTAATACACAATTTTTCTTCAAAGAATTAAAAACCACAATAGCATAGACCTCAGTTTCATCTGTTTCAAGCCTTTCACGAGAAAACCTGAGTGAAATATAGCATTAACGCAGTAAACACTGGAGCTTTAGTTTTAGATCTTCTGGTATACATTAATGATGTAATGTAGATGTACCAAAGTGATCACCACCCTTTTAACTACATTCGCTTAATTTTTTGTAATATAACGGTTAAAGCTAATGCAAATGCACAAAAATACAGAACATTTTGAAGTGAAACATTATCCGGTGAATACGTTGCAGCAGTAAATAAATCCACAACATAAATGGCTCTGTAAGTTTTCGACATTGGATGCTGACTACATTAGATTTAATGGACTCATCAAGCTGAAGGCGCTCGGTCATGCATCCACACCAGATCACGTGGGGGGACGCCGTGCTCAACAACCCCTGCAATCGCTAGCCATATTAGATCAGATGATCCTCGAGATATTGATAGATTATCAAGTATATCTTCGAATCTTCTCGCTTCTGTCTTTTGATTTCACTTGGTAGGTGTGATTAATATTAGGTGTGACTGCTTAAAGCGTTGTCTAACTCCAAATACCTGTGGCATCTTCAACGTTATATATCTTGCAAATGCTCTCTTAAGGATAATGAGTTTATTTAAGCTTTCATGATGGCGATTATTATTTGCAGGCCGACATCGTGGCTGTAAGATCTGATCTGCTTACGGAAGAAATTTATGAACAGTCCCCGTAATCCCGTACTCAGTCTCAGCGGACCCACAGTTTAGAAAGGTAACTACAGATATACCCAATCGAAATTATCTGTTTCTAGGACGTAAATTACTTCCTTTAGTACGAAGACATAAAATATTTCAGTCAATTACTACCAAAAAATAAACACATGTCTACCTAAAGGTGAATAGGAATAACATAATGGATCATGGTTAGTCTTTAGTGGTCCGATATCTAACTTCAGTTAAATTGTGTGGTTGATTGTTATTGAAATACACATATCGACCATCCTCGTATGCAATAACTGACTCAAATCGCGTTAGTGAATAATGGAATTAAATGGGTCAAATACGAGAATTGATTTTTTTAATACATATATATTGTACACATGTTGATCTGGACAGACAATAAAAGGAACGAAGCGAAATGACGTGGTAGAGAAGGCGTGTAATCTGACTCCATTTAATCAAGCGTTAATCGACATTTATTGTCGCACAAAAATAAGCAATAGACATATGATGAGTAGGATAAGATGTAAAAACATGCTCATATAAAAACAGTCAGGTTTGATAAGTGAATAATTAACAAGGTCAAAAGTTGACTCAGGAAGAATAGATAAATTGGCCTGTTTAGAATTTAGAATAAGTTATGTGAAATCGACATTGAAACTCACGTTCATGAATGAAGCCTGTGTGACTTTGTAGGATTATGGTCTAATATGATATTAGTACTGCTCTAATAATAGACCTAATCCCAAAATTGTAGATTCGTCATGATATAACTGCCTAATCTATAAGATCTTACGTGGAAGTCACACCATTGACTACACCAACTCACTGTATCGTATCAATTACCAATACCTGATGAGGAACAAGGTTAGGATAGAGAAAGAACAATATATTTAATATGAATGAGATATAGGATAACATCCAGCATGGACCACGCCTGCATGGCCGAGCCATGCCACTCGATCAACCCCAGTCCATTCAATTCATTGTTCGCGCCTTCTTCATTGTTAGGTATTTCTCGGCGTTACATATTGAATATTTATTTTCTGAGTAGTCTCGTGTTCACAGCTTTGTGGATTGTGTGGCTATTGTCCAATGCCACTACACTACTCTCCCACCAGAATCAACGTGATGTTGGTTCGATACCAAATTGGATGGGATCGTCGCGCGCCGGAGGTTACCAAGGATAATAAGAATCCTCCGGGTATTGGTAAGCTGAAAGATAAATCAAAAAGAAAGCGGCAGCATCTGGTCGGGAAATAGATGTAATAATTTTAAAATATCTGCCTTCATGTTTAAAACGCTTGAAATGAAAATCTGGGTGAAGATTATTTAAGCTATAAAAAATGGGGTTACAATAATAATAATAATAAAACGATGCGTGTTAATAACTTAACTTATAGGCAGTAATTATTTTGTGTTTAGAAATATTAAAATAATGAATATTGTAGAAATGTTAATATTGGTATTAGCTTTGGTTTAAATTATGAAATCGGATAACGATTATGCCCATAAGAGTTGAATTCCAATTGCATCTGTATTAGTAGGCTAACTGAAGGAACAAAAGTATACCGTGGAGAAGAATTCCAACTAGTGTTCCAGTTAGTTTGATACGGTTTATTTAGTTACGGGGAGATTTTCTCAACCTCATTTTTACTTGACCGTGATAGAATTTAGTAATACTACTAATACACATGAATGGTTATCAAAACAAAATTTAAATACGTGAGTGATAATTATATGAATTTTGAACAGATAGCTAAGAACAAATCGTTAAACATGAGTGTATTCGTAAGAGACATACTCTAGACTCAATGTTCTGAGTTGCCATAGACTATTTATACATATTTATACCTGACCGCTGATGATGCATACAAGTTAGCTGCAAGTATGCAGTTTATCATAAGGCGGAATACTATTCAATTGAGATATAGTGATTATAAGTTACTGAAATCAGTTAAGTCTATATACTGGATTACTAGGTGATGTGCTGCAAGATGTATTCAGCTAAATAAGTTTTTACAAGATA